ATTTCATCCTTCTATTAAATTACTTTTGTAAAATAAATATGATTTTGCTAATTGATTTCCTTTATGTTGCAGCAATTTTAATTGTCAGTAGTGTAATCTACATAGTCTTCTTACTGTTTGAATGTAGTTTAAAAAAAAAAAATATGATTTACAGTACTTCACTTTGATGAAATTTACCAATGACCAGTTTTTACATTGAAAATGTTCCAGGGAAGGGCTTCCTGAAACTGGAACTCATGGCTATTTAAAAGATACAGATTAAGAGCTCCTATTTTTAATGATTTTTAATAGACTGCTATTTTTGTGAATACTTATGCATTTAAACTATATTACTAATTGTTATCATAAATTTTGACTTTGCTCGTGGCACTTTAGTTAAGCAACTCAAATGTGATAATAGTGATAAAAATTTTAATTTAATACTTTTTTGTATCTCATGATTTCATGTTAACATGTGTTAACAGATAGTAATTTTTCCCCCATTTCCTGACTTGTTCCCTAAAGACAATTATTTCCTGCATCATTTTATGTATGTGATAAAACTTTTTGTTTTGTTGTTGTTAAAATATTGGCTTCATCACTGTATCTCATGTTATCAAAGTTGCTGATGCATATAATTTCCTTTATGCCATTTAAATTAAAAAAACTTGGAAATTTCAAAGCTTTTTTTTAATGCACAATATGCTTACAAAAATAATATTACAGTTAAAAAATGGCACGTAGAGAAATGATAAGTAACATGCAAATATGATTACATACCAAAATTCAGATTTTACACTTATTAAATGCAACGTGTGGGCATCTGATCTACACCATTTCATAACTTAACTAACACTTGCATCTATTAAACACAATCTTAATTCTGACTATCAACAACAAAGTAGAGAGCTCTCAAGCATTTTGCATCCACTCTGTTACAAATTGCCCAAACTTTCAGGCTCGCAGATTTTATATGCTTCACCCACATGGGTTACAAGTGATGGCAAACAAGAGCATAGGAAACTTTACAAAGCCCCTGTATCGTCATAATTGGACTTTACTCTAACCTGAGATATGCACTAAAGTGCACAATGAGTTTACCTGAATGATGAGTGTGTTCAGCTGAGCTCCTCCCTTGAAATAATCTAATCAGTGGTGTGCAGCATTATTACCAAAAGGGAGCTAGGTATAAAAAAAAAAAAAAAAAAAAATTATAAGCCTCTCTAAGATGACTAGTTAGCGGTGGTGGTCATATTAAGAGATAAAATTTAATAATAGTGTTTAAGCTTGAAGGTACTGCTCACTTTCAAAAACGGTCATCTTAAGGAGGTGGTCACCACAAAAAGATTTGTTCATTTTGAATATAAAGCCTAATGATACAATTAGAAGACTAATGAGCATAATAATGGTTAAAGTGCTCTGATGAATTTATTAAAATTGGATAAAAGGGAGAATGATCTTACCATAATAAACAATTTTTTTTAATCTGCTGGAAGTCATAAAAAATAATTAGTTAAAAACATTTCACCTCAAAAACAGTACAACACCAGCAAAACAGATTATTTCTTATTTTGCATATCTTCAATCACTTTGAAATTATATAATATTCCACTTTGGAATAAGAGATAAAATGTCCCATGCTTGTACAGATGATAACATACGAAGTAAATAGATGATATATATAATAATCATTACCTTTGTGTCATTTGAAAATGTATTACTAAAAAAAACATGATAAACAATTGATCGAGATGAGACATGAATAGCTAACGAGCACGTTGTCGTAAAATGGTATCAGAGGTTGCTTGCGCATGCTCTGTAATGATATCTTGTGTAGGATATCATTACAGATCACTTCCCTTTCGATATTATCACTTCCTTTTCGATAGCTTAAATTTAGAATTACTGCATCTATATACTTTACTTCACATTATTTCAGGTACGATAAAAATACTTCATAAAGATGAACTAAAATATAGACATGAGAAAATTGAAATTCCTTACGACCTACTGCCAATACTTGACAACATACCTACGGCAATTAGAGGAACAAGTGAAAGCCAATTAGTACCATTTAAATTTAGTATAATTTATTGCTATTTTTTGGTTTCAAAAGAGGTAAAATAATGTTCCTTTTAATACTTTTAAATATCAATTAAAATGTACTTAACAGTGTTTGCTAATGCATAAAATGCTAGCTTAGTCCCTCTAGTATACTGATGGCACACCACTGAATATGGCTTATGAATGAACCACCTTCAAATATCGCACTGAATGAACTTTCAAATATGGCACTGAATTGCACTGAATGAACCACCTTCAAAGAACCTGGAAATTAAGTTATGTTCTTCAAAGAAAAAACAAATAGTATTACAAAGACTATATAAGTTTCTGGATAATTAACGAGCATGCATATTTTTTTCATTCATATTGTTTTTAAACTTACACATTTTTTAGATCATTTGTTGTTGAAATGACAGCGTAAAAGCAAAAGCTCACTGAATTTTCATTAATTAATATATTGGATTTAAAAGAAGAATACACTTCAAAATTATGATTGACTCAAGTTTTGAAAGAAATAAAAATATTGGCATTTGTCCATAAGCTCAGGAAAGGATACTTGTAAAAATGATTTCTACAATGTTTTATTGTGCTGTGAAATTATTAAATATTTACTAGCTCTTAATTATGAACCATTTTATGGGTGCTTCATATAAAGGAACAAGTATCTTGTGAACAAATATAGCTAACTTTTCAAACTGGAAAATTAAAAAGAAAACAAAAAAAAAAAAGAATTCTTTTTATTAAAATAAATGATGTGTCATTTTTGGTAACAGTTACTATGAGATTCTGTGCTTTATTAAAGAAGAATGATTGACAATTTTATATAATTTAATAGAGTTAAAAAGAGATAAAAATCATATTTTATCAGTGCCCTCTGAAATCAATGAAATAGTAATTATCCTAGATTTTATATTTAATAAAAATTTTAAACCATGATGTAAATATTTATAATTATATTGAATTTCTTTTAAAAATTTGCTTTTAAAAATTATATTTATTTTTATTAGATATAAACTAGGGACATCATCCTACAGCATGCAATTCAAATGCCCCATGCCTATAGACTTTAAATTTTTTACTTTTTAACCAAATCATATATCGGAATTCTTATTGATTATTTTAACCACTTGCGCTATGACTACTCCACGCTTGAGGTGGCGTGCGCTACAATATAACAAGCGGTAAAGTGTCTCATTTATGCCGCTCCACGTCTGCGAGTGCAATCCAGAGCTGTAACTCGAGAAATAAACAATCTCGTTGTTAGACGACATGTGCACAACGTTATTTTCATTTTTGCAATACATGCTTATCGCTTTGCGACGTTCACGTCACTCGCGATTTCAGACAAAGCATCTCGACGTGCATGGCACGTCATTTTAGCGCAAATGGTTAAATATACAGCTTAGCAATAAATCATGGACTTTAATTAAAATTAGATATTTCAAACAAAATAAATTGTGTGCTGCCATGCCTCCTTTTTTTCTGAAAAATGTGCATGCTATTTGGTTGAAGAAATATTTTATATGGACAAACAAAAATTGTCTGGTATCCTCAGATCAGGTAAATGTATCGCTGTCACAAGTGGCAGCTTTATTGCATGCAGCTAGAAGACAGTGGTTGTTGTTTACCATAGAATTTAGCATGGTTTATTGCTAATATTTAGCAAGAAAAGGCAAAAATTCTGTTTCAAGGTTCATACTAACAGTACTGTACATTTAGTTAAGTACGGCTTAAGTTGCAGCTAAAATTTGTCAAGACTTAATAATAAATTTAAAACTATACATATGAAAGAAAAATCTGAAATGATGCTGAATTTAAAATGTTAAAAATCTTCTTCAAATATAAATCTGTATTATGAATGCACTTATTAATATGTAACAAATTACGTACATCTAAATTCAAGTCTGAAGAACAATGACCATTTTTTTCTGATATATATTTTAGTAAATTTTACATTAGATGAAATTCTGCATAATATTAATTTTACAGAAAAGCTCTTTCCATTTTAAGAAAGATGCCTTTCTTTTTCAAATAGCAAATACAATTTAAATGGGCAAGGAAATGACTGAAAAGGAAGCAGTATCTGTAATGTAATAATAAAAAAAAATTAAAAAAAAAAAAAAAAAAAAAACCAGTTGTGATGACAGAGCTGAATATTACAAACTATAACTGCAAAACTGGAATACAAACTATTCACTACAGTGGGCAGATATAGATGAATGTGGGAAACTTCAAGAATCTAAATACGTAGCGTATTCGGAAACTAAGTACCGTTTCATTCTAGTGCCGTCGCAGCGCTGTGGTAGGCGTCCCGCGCATGCGCACTAGTCTTTCTTGTTCACTGACTTCCAACTGTCGGCATTTTGGTTGCTCTATGTTGTGTTTTTAGTTTGCTGTGCACATTCAAAATGTTTAAGACAGTTAGTTCTCCTGCTGACTGTGAGATTTGTGCCGTGATTAAATGTTTGAATGCGAGGAATGTTAAAACCGGCCGAAATTTATCGTCAAGTGACAGAGGTTTACGGTGAATACGCGATAAGTGATGGAATGGTGAAAAAGTGGGTAAGAATGTTTAATGCAGGTCGAACAAATGTCCACGCCGAGGCTCGGAGTGGTCGGCCTTCTTCTGTTGTCACCGATGATTTGGTAAGGAAAGTTGATGAAGCAATTCATGAGAACGACACTTCACAATGACAACTCTTTCAGAGGCATTTCCACAAATTTCACGTACTGTTTTGTTCGAAATTGTGTCTGACTGCTTGAATTATCGCAAACTGTGTTCCCGATGGGTTCCAAAAATGCTCCTTGATGTGCACAAAACAAACAAAAACAAACTGTTTTTTCAAAACAGTACTTAGTTTCCGAATACGCTTCGTACTATATATATGTATATTTCAATGTTTTTAATTTGCTTTTTATGTCAAAATTCTATGCAAAAGTACATAAAAAATACTCACTTCATTATTTCTTTTTAATTTCTTGAAAGAACAAACATGCTTTCTCATGTTATATATACAGGAAGATATCATATTTGCAGAAGTACTTTTGGAGAATTTTTCTCAAAGGTTATATGCTGAAGAAAAAGAAAACAGTGTTATAAAATATGAAATAGAAAGTTATTTTGCACAGAATTAAAGAATTAACAAATTCTTTGTTTCACTAAGCACTGATTCATCTGTGAATAATTCAAACAACAGAAAAAAAGCTCATTATAGAAAAGCTCACCTTTTGAAGCAATAATTTATGATAAAATCCCACAATGCACAATGTTATTGATATGTTTTTCTATATGCTTATTTAGTTTAATATAAATCATGTAAAATAATAATAAATAAAATCATATAAATAATCATGTAAATAGTGTCATTCAGAAATTTGTATGCATTGCATATTTGCCAAAATGAGCCAATGCTTTTTTACGGAAGAAGTGGTACCTTTTCCTGTATCAATTAACTGTCTGAATGCTATGACTTTTTGGATCTGTTTGTGAAAAACTGTATCCAAACAGCTTCTATTATGTAAATTTGTACAATTATTTATTTTAGTCTTTGTTTTCATAAACTTAATAAATAACTTAATGTTTCATAAATTAATTAAGATGATATTTATATCATTAGAAATTAAAGAATTAAATCAGAAGTTTATACATACCAAGTAAAAAATCTTATGATTGGATAAAAGTGGCCATGCCACTTATTGGATTGAGTAGTTTTTATCTCTGTTCTACTTACAAAAAGTATTGCATTTTTTTTTTTTTTTTAATTTTGAAAAATGAATTGCAAAAGGTAAGCTTTTTTATACAGCATTGCTCGTATTGTTCAAATCACTTAATAACAAAAATATTTTGCTCTTCAGAAAAAAAAGGCTCTACTCCAAAAATGGGGCTAATACCATGATTTATTTTACAATAATTACCAAGTACTGTTCTTACAGGAATAAAAATACTTTTTTTTAAAACGTATCACAAAAAAAAAAAAAAAAAAAAAAAAAAAAACACAAAATGATCATAATCAACAATTTTTAAACACCTTAAAAAATAAGATTTCTAAGCATGATAAACAAAGAATTAAAATTTTATCCATAGTGACAGTCAAAGTTTAAATAACAATATACTTCTGTAAGCACGATTGTAAATTATTTAATCATTATTAGACACAATATCTATTGAGAAAATGGCAACAGCTAATTTCTGGATGTCTTTCTATTTATAATTTTAAAAATATATGCAGATGATGTATGCTTGAAATGTTTAATGGTACAATGCAGTAAGTACGTTTGTTATGTTATGTACGTTTACGAATACGTTACGTGTAGGTTATTAAGATTTATCTTTAAATAAATGTTTGTCTTTTACAACCATTTTATGATTGATTAATTTAACTACAAAAGGAAGTTAACATAAATCAGAAGTGGGATTATTCTGAAACCTAAGCCTAAAGCTACAAGAATTTGCTATACGTAAATAAATTGAAAAGAATTTGAATTTCAAGGTTTGTGCATTGATTGATGTAACATATTTATTATAGAAATTAATTTTGTTATTTCTTTATCATTTTGGAAAGAGAGTTTATTTTTTTTTTCATTTCTTTAAATTTTGAAATATATTTAGAACGTCAAATAAACTTATAAAAATACCCAATAACTGTGTTCTACTAAGTTGTCTAATTGGAGGTTAATAATAATAGCATATATATATATAATTTGCATTTAATGAGTACGAAAATGTCTATTTCGGTAAGGCAAAGAAATGCGATTTAAGAATATTAGCTGAAGATGTAAATGAGAGTCATAAAATGAGCGATTTGAAAAAGATAATTTTGGACTAGCAAAGAGTATGATGAAGAATGTGCCAAAGAATGGTTGACCATTAATAACAAATGAAAAGAAAGAAAAGAAGAAATTGAAGAATGAAAATGTCAAGATGAAGAATATAGGCGAAAAGAAGAAACTGAAGAATGAAAACTTCAAGATGAAGAACATAGGCAAAAAGAAGAAACTGAAGAATGAAAACGTCAAGAAGAAATTGAAGAATGTAAGCAAAAAGAAGAATATGAGGAGCGAAAACGGTGCATGAAATGGAATTTGAACTGCAAAAATTACGTATTGAAGCAGAAATTAGATCTACAGATTCTGACACCAATCAAAATGCTAGTGTTACGCACATAAATCCAAAGTTACAGCTTTATCGTTTGATGCAAAAATTTAAACCTGACGAGAATGATATCAGTTTATATTAATCATGTTTGAACGCTTGGCTAAACAAGTTGAAATACCATAAAATACATGGGTACTCATTTGTTGGCTTATAGCCGTATGAATTGCTGAGTTAATCGCCAGAGAAACCGATGAGATTGCAATGATTATAAAGAAGTTAAAAGGATCTTATTTAAAACGGTACAAGATGACACCTGAAAAATTTCACCAAAAATTTTTTACGCATATAAGAGTGTAGGAAAACATGAAGAATTTTGCGTATGAGTTAAGAAATTTTTTAATGAATGGATAAGTGGGAATTAAAGTAGAACTTTTGAGAAACTTTGCGACCTTATTGTAGCGGATCAGATAAAACGTAAAGTGTCTCCAGAAGTAAAAGATCATTTATGACATATGGTCTGAGTTGATTTCACCAATTCATTTAGTTGAAAAACTAGATGATTATGATACCTTGAAGTCAACTTTCAACTATAAACAACCGCGTAAAGAAGGGTCTTATGACAAAGAAACTCCTTTAAAGATGGTCCAGTTGCTACAATCAACGAAAAGAAAAAACGGTACTTTTCCGTTTCGCCGGCGCAAATCTCGCCAAGCAGACTTTATTGGCGACAACATACAGTATACACATAAAAAATATTTAAAAAATGTTAGTTCTAAGAATTTTTTATTTTGAGGGCATAAACATTTTAATATCGCTTAAAATTTTATAAAAAGCCAATAAATAAAGATAAATTTGTAAAAAGACATTAATTTAAGAATTTACTATGCTTTCATGGTTCAACATTCCTGATTCGCCGGTTCACATCACGTGAGCCCAAGTGATCTCATCTCAAGTAAACTACGCTACAAAAATCTAATGCTATCAGTAATCATCTACATTAATTTCAAGTTAAATCTTAATTTGGAATAGACAAGTTTAAATGAAAGAATTATTTCAATTCGGACAAACAACTTACTCAGAAATTATGTAAAAGTGCAGTGCTTTACTTCACTAAGTGCATTCTCATTAGAACTGATGAATTTAATCCTTGATTTTGCCTTCTCTATATTTTCGCATAAGTAGTGCGATTGCATCCTAATTGACTTAATTGCTGCGAAAATGGCATAGACAAATTAACTGTACTATCTGGATAAAAATTCTATGTAATATATGCCAGTATTGGAAAGAAACAATCAATCTGATAAGAAAAAGCTGCGACTTGTTTTGAAATGAGGCGTAAAAGGTTACCAGTGAGAAATTCCGTTTGGCATCGGTTGTACATTATTGGCGACTTTATCGCTGCGCCGGCAAAACGGAAAAGTACCGAAAAAACTTACGGTATCACACATAATGAAAAAGGTGAACCGAAATGCTTCAGCTGTAATAATTTGGAACATCTCAAGGACTGTCCGCTGCCCAAACAGTGTAACATGCCGAATGTAATAAAACAGGTCATAAAGCTAAAAATTGTGTTACTAAAATTGAAAATAATCATTCAAAGATAAAAAATTATTCTGTTGAGCAAGTTGGCGAAAATTAGAAGAGAGCAATTCATATTTGAAGAGCAAAAATGAATAATTCTGAAGAAGTACAGGCTTTAATTGATACGGGGAGTTTTTTGTCTCTTAAGGACTTCAGTTGCTCAGAAATTTAAAGTGAAACCAAAACTGCTATGAATGAATTGTACGGTTTGTAAATCAAAGGGTGCCTGCAGTGGCCTCTATAGGAATGATTAAAGCCGATATGAGTTGATAATGTAAAGGCCAAGGCATAAATATATACCTTGTACCTGAAATGCACAGCCAGTTGATTAATCATCGGACGGACATGGCTTGCTACCCACATCGCTTATGTCAAAATAGGAAAAAGATTTCACTTTGGGTATAGGGAAGATGAACATTTAGTAACCTCCATTGATGAAAAAATAAATCGAGTCTGCCTTAAAGCTCTTGAGGAAAATGAATTAGGGAAAATATGATCAGTCTTGTAGTTCTCAAACAGATTCTGTAGATAATGGATTAATTATGATAGAAAATCCTTCCGAAGGTATAGGCTGTTATTAGAAATTAAAAATGGCGAAACTTGTATACCAGTGATTAACATTGGCGATAGAAGTGTTAGGCTCCAAAACGATCAATGCGTTGGGAGAGCAGATGAAGTTGAACTATGTTTAAATACTGAAATTTCTGAATTGAGCTCTAACTTAGCAAAACGGAAAATATTAACTACATAAAAGTTCCTATAAGTTTAAGTCAAGTTAAAATTGGCTCAGATCTCGACGTTGATCACCAACAAGAGTTGTGTCTTCTGAATGAATAAAGAGATTGCTTTGCACTAAAGATTTCAGAACTAGGGTGCACAGATCTCTTAAAAATGGACATTAAAGAAATCGAAGGTTCAAAGCCAGTATGTATGAAGCCTTATAGAATAAATGCCTCTGAAAGAGCTGCGATCAAAGAAATAGTTCAAGAATGGAAGAAAATGGAATTGTAACAGAAACGCGATCCCCATATGCTAGTCCTGTCATACTGGTAAAGAAAAAGACCGGTGAATACAGATTAGTTATTGATTACAGACATCTCAATAGTCAAACTATAAAGGATAAATTTCCTCTGCCTAAAATAGATGATTTATTAGAACAATTGCATGAGTGTAGTCTGTTTAGAATGCTAGATTTAGCACACGGATATTTACAGATTCCATTAACTGAAAGTGCAAAATTGAAACCTGCTTTCGTAACCGGATGAAAGTGGACAATTTGAAAGAATGATTTTTGGCTTGACTAACACTCTTGCAGAATTTCAACGATTGATGTATCATGCATTATCCTCATTATGTAATAAAGAAATGTTGTGCTACCTTGACGATATACTTGTTCCAGAAAGGACTTGGGAAGAAATGATTCAGAAATTAATTAAAGTATTCGAAGCACTACGTGCAGCTAAACTAACCCTGAAGTTACCAAAATGTGAATTTGCTAAACAAGAAATAGAATATTTAGGCTTTCTAATCAATAAAAACGGAATACAGCCGGGATCAAGAAAAGTTGAAGTAATATCAATATTCCCAGAACCTAAAAACCTTCATGAAGTTCGACGATTTCTTGGTTTAACAAGTTTTTTTAGAAGGTTTATTCCAAATTATGCCATTAAAGCTGGACCATTGACTCAACTAAGAAAAATCAAACATTCAGATGGGAAGAAAGTCAGCGGAATTCTTTTACAGTGCATTTTTTGCATTACAAAATAATATATATCTACACTATAAAATCTTAAAAATAGGCTGTACCCATGGGCGATGCCAAAGCAGGTGCTACTTGTGCGGCTGCACTGGGCAGCATAATTTAGGGGCGGCAAAATTTTTACAGTTTAGGAAGGAATCAAGCAGAGTTTCAGAGTCACAGGGTTAGTACTGAATAGCAAAAGTTTAGTACCAGCCCTGGCTGTACCTATATCTACATTTTAATTTTAGCTGTTTGATGCACATATGCAAGTACGTGCGTGTGTGAGTGCACATGTAACACTCAAAGCCACAGAATAATAATACAACCTTCTTAGGTACGCTACAAATTTCTGTTGCTAAAGAGCTAAAAAACTTGACTTGAACAGCGGAACTTTTGTAACTGAACAAGAAATTATGTCTGTTTATAGAATTAAAGAGAAAGTATTATCACATAAAACGAAGCAACTTAAACAACTTACATTGAAAGAAATGTTTAATAAAGTAAACAAATAAATATTAAGCTTTTTTTTTCGTAAATTTTGATACCTTTTAGATAATAATTGTTCTTTATTTCATAAATTACGGTTTCATATTTTTAATTTTAGAATTTCTGCATGCCATCTTACGAGATTTAAACTGATGATCTATAATCCGGAAAAATCGATAATCCGGAATCGCCGAAGTCCCGACGAGTCCGGATTAACGACTTTTGACTGTAGATAATAAAAGAAATTCCAAATTTGGGCTTATTCAAGTGGCGATATTCAAGTGGATATGTATTTTATTCAAAATTTGATGGCTCTAGGTTTCGTCGTTTTATCACAGCACAAGAAACATACATATATTTATGCAGATTCTTCCTTATTTAATTTCTTTAAATATTTTACAGGGCTGTAATATTTTATGGCAACAGTTTGAAAAGTAAGCCAACATTTAAAGTTTCTAACATAAAATGCCAAAACGCAGTTAATAGCTCTTTTGGGCTAATGCCCTTTGGGCAGCAAAAAACATAAAATAGCCTTTTAAATATTTATGAAACTTCATTCAACTTTTGCTCTTCTCCAAGGAATCCTAAAAGATTATTGCACATTCCCAAGTATAAGTTGCTCCACATATAAGCCAAAAAATAAGTTTTGCCTATTAATATATAATGCAAACTGTAATGTACCATCAAAAGTTTGACTAATTGGTCTACCTTAACTAGATTTATTAAATGAAGTTAAAGGTGAGTACTAAGTCCTCATTAGTTCAAAATCTATGCAAAACAACAATCATTAAATTATCAAAAAAATGTTGCATTAACATGCTATATGGTTGAAAAAGATAATGTTATTATGTGCAAGATAGGTTATGATGATATTAATTGTGAGCTAGAGGAAAATGCCATTTACCTGAACTCAACAGCAACAAAACGTGATTTCTGAGAACAGCTAGAAAATTCTGAGTTTGACAATGACAATAAGAAATTTTATTACTATATATTAAGATTAATATTTTTTTTAATATTTCAATTATTGCTATTTTTCAAATTTTCATTTTTCTGATCAAATTCTTTTTTAACACGTTGACTGCCAACTACGTGATAATTCGTAGATTGTATTCTTTTCTAGGACGCCAACTACAAGTTATCTCGTACTGTGTTTACTTGCAATTTTTGTGCAGCTACAATTAAACTCGGAATTTGTCAGTGCTAATATTGATAGATGGCTTCTGGGAGAAAAACAAAAAATCAATGCTGGCTAGCATGAAAAGAAAATTTACTAAAAACAAACAAAAAATATAATTATAAAAATTAGTAACATAATATACGATTCGGCTTCTCGGACCGGAATCCGAAAAGTGCCATGGTAGTCAACATGTTAATTATTATAGTTCACATACATGCTGATTTCCTAACTTCAGTAACAAAAAAAATTGCTACACGTTTTTGTTTACACAGGAAAAATCTTGAATTGATATAAAGAAGAGTGGCTGTGTTTTTGTAATTTACAGAAATCTACAGTTTTATTCTGATCTTGATGAAATATGGCATACTGACCTTTAAAACAGAGAAACTTGTTTACATAAGATTTCTCAAAAACCACTCCATAGGGACCCCAATTATATACACAGATTTTATGCAAATTTGATGAACTTTTGATTAAAACACGGTGATTTAGAAGCTTTGTGTTGCCACTTTGCAAAGTGTAAGATATTTATGTTCCAAATTTAATAAGAAAAATCAATGATATAAAAGAAGTGTGTTGCCATTTGAGGAAATTCAATATATTTATCTTTTAACTTATTAAACAAACTCAAGAATTTAAGGCAAATGTACTGGTGTTCCCTGAATTAGAATATTTTTATTTTCCATGGATCTGTATATTGCTGTTCAGTGAAGCATAAGATATTTAATTTTTCTTTCAAATTTATTCTGTTAATAGTTAACAACCTGAGCGATTTCTCAGCAATAAACACAGATTCGTTTGAATTACAAGTACCATTAATTACTAGTTGGATTCATTAAAATCATCTAAATATTTAAATAAAAATGTTTGTTAATTTTTTTGTATGTAACTAAAGATTACAGTACAGTTGTACACAAACAAACATAGGACTAAAAAATGTGATTTCAGTTAAATCTACAGATAATCCTAACCTCATAACAACTTACACTTTTTAATTACATGGCCATCTAAAATCAGCCTTGGCTCATCTTTAAACAATGTTTCACAAACAGTTTTTGTTACTCAAATAAATTTTCGGCATTAGTTCTCATCTCAAAATCAAAGTATAAAACTCAAAACTTCTTCATAAAGTAATTATAAAAGACTTGTACAGTTTTCCATATTTATAATTTGTTTGTCTTCTCTAGAATATTTTATGGCCTGAAACTGTATCACTAATTTTTAAATTTAAGGATAAAACACTACAGAAATCCACTTATTTGATATTGATATTTTAAGACTTAGAAGTTATGCATAACTATCAAGGATAAAATAAAAAGTTTTAGGACAGTACTAACATGGTTTTCTGCTTACAATGTAACCATGCATAATTTTTAAATAAATACACAATTGAATGTTTATATCTAATTTTCTACTTTCTATTCATTCTACTGATAACAGTTACCTTTAATATTAGTTTAACTTCTTATTTATTTAAATCCTTAACTAACAGAAAAATACTTTTTGATGTTAAATTCAAAAAATAATAGGCTAACGTTTCAAAGCTCAATTCATAAAAAAAAGCAAATTTCTAATATAAAAATGCTTATTATATTATAGTTTAATCTTTCACATACATTTTTTGTAGTACACAATTTTTGTCACATTTATCTGGTTGCATCAGCAAAAGCTACACTTACGTTGGAATGTTCTGGGATTATTTTGGGATGTATTACTTGAATTTCTGAATGCTCTCAAAATGATGCTCTTTGACATATCAAATATCAAAATTCATAAAACAAATTTATTTTTTAAAAAATAAAAATGTCAGAGATTTCAATTTAAGAATTAGAAAGTGGTCCATAATTTGATGAAGAAGGTTGCCAAACTTACTTAATAAGGTGGGTGTGATTAATTTTTCTTTGTAAACAATATTGCTCTTCATTATATATTCCTAGAATTTTGAATGCGTTAATGACAGGTATCATATCCCAAAATTAAACAAAAAATTTCAATTGAACTTCTCTTCAAAAACATTCAATATTCTAAAGAAAGTAGATCGAAGAACATAAATAATCATTCACATTATTCATTATTTGTCAGCATGTTGAAATCAGCTGAAAAAATGCAATTTTAAAACTTTACACCATGTATTTTTTTAAAGTATTAAATAAAGTGCATCTTTTCTAAACTGAGTGAAAAAGTTCATTAAGGCACTACATATAAAAAATTACCTAAAATGTTCTTTAGCAAACACTAAAGCTTACTAAAAATCTTAATATGAGTGTAAAGAAAGCACATGACCATTAGCATTAGAAAGTAACTATTTCATTTGCATCGGTATGTATCTGCATAATATACCTTTGTACTACCAATTAAAAATTGATATATAGAATGACATTTCTTGCAAAACTGACACAAATCTTGTCGCTATTTGCACTTTTGTTTCATAACAAACTGTAGAGAAAAGTAAATTCTCTTTTAAAATGTTACCACCTAGTAAAAAATTATTCAGAACTAAATTTTGTTCAGCAAAGTACCTATCTTTCTTCATAAATACTTGAAATAGCTGCTGTCACAGATTTTTGAAGCATCAAGTCACATCCTGAAAAAAATATTTACATCACAATTAGTACAAGTAAATAATATTCAATAAAGCATTCATTACAATACTAAGGAAAAAAGTCAGATATTTAAAACTATGCAACATCTTTACAAGAAATCCAGGTTATATAAGACAATATTTAGTACAGTCGAATATGATAACTGGTTAAGTTTCCCAACTAAGAGTAAATTGTACCAATTTTTGTTACAGCAGTTTCTTTTTCTGTAGGATGGAAAAAGTCATTACAGCGTACCTCAACTGTTAACACATACAGAATCATTCCAAAGATTTATGAATCTTGCATAATACACAGGATTCAGCAAATTACAAGAAAATAAATCAAGAATTTAAGGAAATATACTTAAAAAAAAAAACATATTTAGGTGACAGCAACAAAAATATTCTAGAAAGTAAATTTTTAGCAAAACCATTATTTGTTACCTTTATTTACAAAGATTCTTGGGATTATGCATATTTATATCCTAAAATTTATGCTACAGTAGTTCTAGGTATAAATTTCAATTACGATTTTAGGAATAAAAAGAAATCTAAATAAAAGAAAACAGTTATAGGAATTCAAAACTGTTAAATTTTATAAAATTTGAAACAACCCAAGATTCCATCCAGAATTTATGTTATGTGCTATAGTTTTTTATTCACTACAAAATCAAAGAAACTTTTCATTAATGCACTTAATAAGTGCTATGACAATCCTGAATCATTAACATATTCACTACTAATGGCCATTAAAGACAAGATAAAATTTTACCTGAGATACAGGGATTTATACAGTCCCGCAAAAGATATCTATACCTGATACATGCACAGAACTGCTTAACTGCTTATCTATTACATACACAGAACTGCTTAACTTCCTTTAAATTTCTACTTATTTCTGCTAAATAACTCGAGCTATTATAGTACACATTTACAACATATCACTAGCTACATGCTGCACTTGATACAATAAAAAAACAAAGATATGTAATGAACTATGGTGAATTTCCAATGCACTACGGCCACTACGGATAATCATAAGTCACTTTCTCATTACCAAACAGCCATCAACAGTAGTAAGTATCATAAGTTAATAAATGGTCATGTTAATAAAAAGACAAATGTGAACAACCAGTTATTATTACAATTAGTGTAAATAAGTATGTCTTCTGCTACTAATTCTTTAGTGATGATGGAAACATGGTGGCCAAGGGCAAGAACTATGTTACCCACATATTACACAAATCTACGATAAAGAAAGCATTTTTCAATATTTTTGCAGTTTTTAACACTTATTTTATAATTTTAATAAAGATGACACTCAGAAACTACATTTTTTATCAATGGTAATTTGTTTGTTTGTAATCCCTTTTAATACTAACTACAGACAGCAGCTGTTCTTACTACTGAGATGAGTTACTACCTGTAACTCAAAAATAGAAAACGCAGTTTCAATCTCATTTTTCTACCAGCTTTACAATTTATTTCCCATTTACAACAGAAATGCTGAAAATTTAGTTATTTTGTTTCATTACAGATAATGACAACTGCAGTATAACACGCAGAACATTCTAATTTAAAAAAATAAGTCTCCACTTGAAAGAAGTTTTAGAAATACTGTTCTAAAATTTTCAGATTGAATGGTTTTAATTGCTTCTGTTCTATAAAAGCAGGGCTGATAACAAAGGCCTTCAGACAAAGAAAATTTTGGCACCCATACAAATAGTCTCTACAATACACATCGGGCATGGCCAAACTGCAATTTGAAAGCCCTTTAAATGCAGTCCACAATTTAGCAAGCACTCATTTTATCTCTACAATATTGTGCAGTGGTGCACTAATTTAATAAGCATTCAGTAATTAATTTACTTTTTTAATTAAAGTTAAATTAACTTTTTTAAATTAACTTTTATGAATATAATTAATTTGTGCATTTGATCAAGATAAACTGTTCTGTTGGTAAAACTTGTTTGCATAAACTTACAAATTTCTGCAGTATAGTGATAAAAGTAAGTAAAATATTTACACACTTCAACATGTGGAAAGACGTAGGTATACTTCTGTAATTCACCTTAATTCAGAGCAATTTCTTTGAGATTCATAAATATGAAACTTGCATAAACTGAAATCATTAAATTCACATAAATCTGTTTTATTTTATCAATATTTATTTTCTTGCTGTTATAAAGTTGTTGGTTCTGAAAAGTATCTATTTAAAACTTTCGTTTAAAAAAATGCAACCTGTGACTATTTTTTTAGATAATTATCTGCTTAAATATGTGAATTTTTGTTTCAGTGTATTACAACTTACTGAAGTATTTAAGCATACTAAAACAAAATAACTTTCTTTCCTATCTCTTACACTTTGTATAAGAAATTATTTTTAATAAATTATGATAATATTGTGAATAAATCAGAAATATCACCTCTTCAAGGAAAATTGGAACGTACAACCCAACAGGTTGCTAATAAATCCAAAATAAATTCTTGAAATATTCAGAAACATCATTTTTAGAGGCTTGAATGTTATATGCATGCATTTAGATTTCAAACTTTTTCTTAATAATTTTCTGTACATAGTAAATTATCATATCATCTGTATCATTCTAAAACAAAAATTTAACAATAGCGAAGCATTTCATTATAAATTTAATACATTTTAACTGGAAAATACATGCAAAGAACAGCTTAGAAACACATACGTTTCACTATCGTAATGCAAGGTATTAACAAAACAAACATTGACAATGCTTGTTAGGTAGGGTTTCATTCCCTGATATTGGACGAAACTGCGAACCTTTTCTCCTTCTAATCTAACCTCCTTGATAATAATGTATGTTACATTATGAGGTGGATGCCAATTTACTAATAATTAATACATTAGTGATACAATTTATTATAACAACAAATTCATACAGAACATTATGAAGAAAACAACACAAAATAATATTCTAGAATTATAAAACATCAGTACTACTCGTTAAGCATATCTGTAGTAAAACACTAATGTATTCAAGTAAGATTTTTCTCGTTAAATGTTCTGCATCATTTCAAGTTACATTAATACATGCTTAGATAATATGGGACCTTTATACTGTGGAATGACAAGCTGTACATCTAGTCTTTCAGATAACCAGGGCCAGCAACAGGCCTTTTTGTCACCTAGTACATAGCTGAAACTCCTAAATTCTGCCACTTGGTTCCGACCTAAATTTAAAAAAATTTGCTGCTCCTAAATCGTACGACTACATCAGCTCTGTCCATAACAATGACATGAAATCCAGTGCAATTATGTCAGATAATCTCAGCGACTATGGTGCATTAGCTTCATAACCAATGATACTGCACCTAAAATTGTCCAACAAACTCCACAATGATGCTAACTGAGGTAGCGGGATGTCATCGTTTTTTTCTTCTTTTTTATGGCGGGCGCTAGCCATTTTTAGGCTTTCGCGACTACAAAGGCCAGAAGGTGGTCATTTTTACTATGGAGGCACCTAATAGGATGGCCATCATTATTTTCTATGAAGGGACAGACAATTTACATCCGTACCTTCTCCCGGATTCGAACCCAGGCCATTCAGCATCGCAGTTGGCTCCTCTAACCACTATATTGCCTGGGCAGCATCATAAACCACACGGAACACTATTTCACAGCCCAACATCCGATCCTGTGATTTGCAATATTTCAAATTATATTTTCATCCAATTATAGTTCCTTTGAAAAATGGAGGTCCTATGAGGAGATCATTCCAAGTTCGGCATCAGATTCTGTTGGATCCCTGCATCTGATGACAAACCTCTTGTTGCTATGATAAATAGTAATGATCAATAGTGCAAAGTGAGGTAGTTTAACACCCTAATGCAATCAAGTTTTCCCTCATCCATCCAACATAATGTTAACCAAGAAATACAGTTGTGCATCCAGTCCATCACAAAGTTGAAACAATCACACAATTTCTGATAATTTCTTTGCAGCAACTTTTGTGCTAGTGTTACACTGGGCTCAGAGGCGTAGCTAGGGTTTTTGGCATCCGGGAACAACTGAAGATTTTGCGCCCCCTTTTGTGTACCAAGAATGAAAAACATTTCATTCTAAAATTTCTTAATTACAATTTGGCACCCTCTTGATGTTGCGCCTGGGAACAGATGTCCCCCCTTGCCCCACCCTAGCTACGCCACTGACTGAATTTATAACAAAAATTGCCATACACAGCCTAATGTAAGCCTACTGCTGCACTAATGTCTCAGTACAGTGTGAATGGGCAAGCCCAGTGAGCAAGGATGTTCATTGAATACATGTGGAGATCTGCAAATGTGAACTTGCCTCCACAGAGATGATTTGTAATCTTCCCTGTTTCTCTGAGCTGGAAAATTACGATGTCATTAGTGACATATTTATATTGCTGATCCGATACAGAGCAATCTGCATTTCAGAACTTCTAGTCAAGTTACTGGAGTATACAGAGCATCATTTCACATAAAATCAAAGACCCTCTACTGTCTGATTAATATATATATATATATATATATATTTTTTGGGGGGGGGGACAGAATCATTGACTTTCAGAACTCACTGATACCAAGAAAAGTTGAAAGCTGGAGAGTTTATTTCTAAATTCTAAAATGTTAATTCAAATTTATCTAAATTATGCCAATTAATATATTACTACATATATTTTATTTTGAATCTAAATAAAAAGAAGTCGACAGAGATATAAAAGATGGCATAACGTTTTTTAAATACTGTGCAAGAATTGTATTGCCCTGTTCTGCATGCAATGTATTTTATTGTATTCCAGAGGCCTGTAAGCAATGTATTTTATTAATAAAATTATATAGGTGTGTAATTCATGAATTAAAAATGTCGAATTTCTATTTTCAATGTTCTTCAGATTTTTTTTTTAAATTTATATCAATACAAACCATAGAGAGAAAATTTTATAGCTTTTAGCAAAATGCCAAGCAAAACTATTTTATAAAAACTTTCATGAATGATCTAAGCCAGCGGTTCTCAACTTTTTGACTAACACGTACCATCTAAACAAAAATTGAAAACCTTTAGTACCACTACTACAAAGTACTACTACCACCACCACTCATGAACAAAGCTCAGATCGCATAAATTTACAAGTGTTACAGAAAAAATTCAATCAGTATGTTGGGGTTTTAATTTTTGAATTTAATAGTTAAAAATACTTTGCTTCTTTACGTACCACCTATTTTTCTCTTGCGTACCACCAGTTGAGAACCCCTGATCTAACATATTTGACAATATATTTAAAATTTCATATAAGTCAACATATACAATGGCGTGGCTCACAAAAATGATCGGACAATTCGAATTTTGGTATATTTTAATGAACATGAAAACTAAAATTAGTTAAAACAAAAAGAAAAATTTTTATTTTGATTATACGTGAATTCAACATTCATTTTATAGTAAAGACATTTTTGAAAAGATGAAAATTATTCTCACCAAAGTAATCAAACACTTTCAGTAATAGCCAAAAATGACAAAAAGTTACATTGTTTTTATATTTCTTAATAGCTTGTGGGATTATCTTTACATGTGATCACTTCACATAATCTTTTGTGCATTGACTTCACAAATTTTTTTGTTATTTCTGGACTTCTTTTGAATGTCACTCTTTTTGAATCACTGCTTTCAGCTGTTGCTGTGAAGATATGCTCTGTTTTCAAATTTTTTATTCTAGTTCCTCTCAAATATATTCAACAGGATTAAGATCTGGCAATTGGAGTGGCACCTTAAATACTTGTGGACACTTACATAACAGCCAGAGTCTAGCATTGTGCACAATATGCTTTGGATCATTGTCTTCATAGAATTTTAAACTATTTTGTGTATTAAATTTTTATGCTGAAGATGCAAAATATCACTTCAAGATGTCAAGGTACTTATACTGATACATAAACTCTACATTACCAACACTGAATATGCCACACATCGCCATACCATAACTTCTCCTCTGCCATGTTTAACACTTGGTACTAAGTTTTGTTTCCAGAATTCTTCGTTGGGTTTTCTCCACATCAGAATTCATCCATTTGAGCCAAAGATGTTAAATTTGCTTTCAGCAACAAACAACACATTTCCCCAGTAGTCGAGTGCCCTGTGTCTTTTGTTTCATCAATCTTGCGAAAGTAGAGTCAAAGATTTTTTTTTTTAATGACATAAAATTTTTTCCTTGCTATTCATGCATGCAGATCTCATTACTCTTCTTACAGTTTCTGGATTTACACATATTCCACATAGTTTTACAAGTTTAGGAGCACTCAGTTTTGGATTCTTTTTAATATTCCTTAGAATAAAGCATTTCATTCGATCATATAACTTGGACAGACTTCCAGGTCTTTTTTGTGAAAATCAATAACTAATCTGCAGGTTTCTAACAATGTTTGCTTTTGTGATCGAGCCGTTGTAAAAAAAAAAAAAAAAAAAAAAAAAAAAAAATGAAATAACAAGTATTCTCTAAAAAGAAAATTAAAATTATACAGCAAATGACTTTTAGATCGTTCCTAAATTCTTTATCCAAGCTAATTCCATAAAAGTTCACTTTTTATTTATTGCAGACGATTTTAATAAGTTATTTAATAATATTTTAATAATTTATGAAAATGTCCAATTAATTTTGTGATACCTTTTTTCCCTCATTTCAGCCTAAAATGTTATTTTTTAAATTTATTATTTAATTTTTTTCAAATTTATTTAGTACAAAGAGGGAGCTAAGGAAATATGTATTTAAAGGGAAAATATTATTTTCTATTTTATTTCAAAGCTTTCCTTCAATTACTTGAAAAAAAAAAATTGTGTCTGATCATTTTTGTGATACATTGAACAGTAAATTTTCAGGATCAGATTCAGAAACGTATATATGTATGCATGTATGTACAGATGTATGTGTTCATGTATGCGTTTATATATATATATATATATATATATATATATATATATATAAACATATGCATGTGTGTTTATATACACACACATATATGCACATAAACACACGTGTATACATACCTACCTTTCTGAATCTGGTACCAAAATAACAGAAGAGTAACCAAATTTTATATATATATATATATATATATAATATTAATAGTTTTCTTCTTTGCTTTAGCCCACCAGTGGCCGAGTAGTAAAGACGCTGAACACTGGTAGTTCGGTCCGGGGTTCAAATCCCACGAATGGGCTGGCTGCATGGGCATTTTTGTGGTTTTCCTCATGTGTAATGTGTATACGAGCCAGTTTACCTTAGAAAGCCTTCCACGAAGTCATCCCTCCCTTTAGGCAGATAGCTCTCGTGTGCTTTTCCATAATTAAATAATCCAATCCAATCCAATCCAATCTTCTTTGCATTACTTTCCATCATTTTTATCAGATAAACAAATTAATTTTCAGCTATTTTAAATTTCCCTATCATTAATAATTTAAATATATACATATGTAAACAATATATAGAAATAGCAGGAAGTGCCAATACTTCTGTGGAACAGATGACTTAAATTAAGTAATTCTTATTCATAAAATTAATTTTTCTGACATACTTTACAACCCGTCATCATAAATTTAAAGTAATGTAGTAATAGCAAATAAAATAGCTTAAGCAGTAAATAAAAATAATGGTCAGTTAATGTGAAAACACAATTCTGCACTGCAAATTTAAGATACTGTAACATGTAAATGTGCATCAATTGTTCAATCTAAGTACATCACCCTGTGTCAAAAGTTATAAGCACAGCAAAACCATAGCTTTGAATAATGCTTGAATCTTGGAACATAAAATGTTTAATATTAATATTACTTCACAACTGCTTTAGTATGTTGAAAACAAATAATAATTCTGTACTTAACAGATATACAAAAAAATGTGCGATATAAACTCTGTTGACATTTCTTTCAATAGTTGATAATATTTTTATACTATAGGATCATAGTTATTCAAAATTATCTTGGTTAATAAAAAATATGCAATAATTATTAAGAAAAAAAAAAGAATTAAAAGAATTATGTTTAACCAATAAACTTGTATTTGTTTCGAAAATACTTTGGCAATGCATCCATACACAACAAATATTAGAAATAATTGTTCAAAAGTTATTTTTTAATACATCAATCAGATAAAAATTTATAGTAACTATTAATTAGTATAATTTTATGCTCAGAAAATTATAAGGATACTGCAAAACATTTGTAGGAGAAATATACTTCACTGACATTCATATTTTGTGTTATGATATATGTTTTATAAATGCATTTATAATGAAACACAGATGATTTTATTCACCTTTGCTTTGGAAAATACTATTTCTTTAATTCTAAGCTAACAAAGAAAAATGCATTTTTTTTTAAAATTCAACACTAGTTTAAAATGTTATAAGTACATAATTTTAAGAACAATGGTGCCCCAAAAAAATTCTTCTAATTTATATTTCATTTTATTTGCTTACTTTTCATGGAATCATTTTTAACAAACTAACAAATAACTATTTCAGTTTTTTAAAAAAATTCAGAAGAATATAAAGAATCAAAATAAATAAATATACGCATGTATAATACGAATGCAAGTTTTATGTATAAAAAATTTTAAAAGATACATAAAATGCTATCTACATTAGAAAGGACGTTAAATTTATAATTTGGAAAATTTCAAAAAAATTTATCTGAACATTAAATTAAATAAGCTCATAAAATATATTTTTCAATAACAATACTGTTATTAAAAATAATACGTTTAAGTTTTTAACTAATTATTGTTTGTAATAAATACTTTTTTAATAAAATAAAACAATTTTTAAACTATAATAACTTTTAAATAAAAGTTTAATAATTTATAAAAAGAATAAGGAATGTTATTAACATTAAAACTTTTTTAATTTTTATATAAAATAACATACCTTTCTTAATTTCATTGAATTATAATAACATACCCGAAATATTCCATGTATCACTTCTCTACGCTTCATTTCCAGCAACACCAATCATTAAATCGCATCCCTTATTTTTGCCGTTAAATTAGTTTCTCGCGAAAAGTTTCGAAGCTTTCAAAGAAAACCGCGCCAATCTAAACAATCGCGGGAAAGAAAAGAAACTTGCACTGAAAACAACAAATAAAAAAGCAAGGATCCGAAAAAAAAGGACAGAGCAGACCATTTTTACAACCCAACATTCAAAGCGAGAACAAAAATCTCTCCATGGGTGATGCTTTCGTACACCGCTGGGAGCATGAAGAGCTTCCAGCGGCAATCCCTGTGGCTGTTCCTTCATGAATCGGAAATTAATGTCGCCGCCACTCTTACAATATCCACAAAATATAATCGCATCCCAAAAAACTCACAACAGCAAATATCCCAGGGTTTTACTTTCATTATTTAAGCTACAAGCACCAGAAAAGAAGCAAAGTCGCAACACTTTTTTTTGCGCGTGTTTTCATTCGAAGTTTTTGAGATGGAACTCAGAAATATTCCCCCCTCTTCTGAGTATGAGCGTGAGTGGTGACTCACGGAACAAAGCAAAATGTTTTTATCCGTCATTTTCGCCCTCTAGCATTTTTAGAATTTTTGTCCAAGTATGGTCACTTTATATATCAGCAGTGCAGGCTTCGATTCTCTCATTAGAGTAGAATAAAAACAAAAAAAGCACTTATATAACTTACCTCGCAACGGTAGCTACAGCAAGCATTTTTAGAGAGCTGTTATTCTCTCTCTATAGGGGTTGCCAGAACTGAAAAAGGCTGTCATCGCCAGATTTCGGCGGAGTTGCGATTGCCATAAATTGAAGCTCATCATTTTCAGTCGCCAGAGGGAATTTTATCGACCATATTTTGCGAGGTATTTTCTACGTAATTCAACACAAACTCATAATACGTTTTATAATCATTTTTAAAAATGGCGTCGTCTTTTGTGTTCTTTCGCAAAATGAAAGAACCATTTGCTTCTCTGTTTGGTTTTGCTGACAGTTTCAAGCAGTATCATGGCCATGAAATGTATCAGAAGAATGACAATAGCAAATAAATTTTAATTTTTTATTTAGAGTGAAATAAAAAGATAATCTTACAAAATCAACTAGATGAGGAGTTTTCCATGTCAGAAAAGGATTAGTCATTCCATCATCTTCTGAAAGAGTTCTGTTGAGACTCTTTGTTCATTTAAAACTTCGTTTTTGTAATGTTGTCCATACATTAGAATGAATATCCAATTTACGAATATATGATTTTGAATGAATAATTTACGGTCCTTAAGATTCGCAAAAAATTTGGAATAGTACCATATAATCTTAACCTGTTATTAGGTTTAAAGGTTTATATATATGTTGAATGATCTAAAATTCACTTAGTTCGAAAACAATTTTTTCTAATACTTGCGCAAAAGCTGCAAAGTAAGATAATAATAATTTATTTACTAAAGAAATACTGATTATATTATCTCCTAATATAAATTTAGTAGAAGTATCAAAAAAGAGGGAACTCATATGTAGGAAGTTAATTCCGAAAATTGTGTTTTAAAGTAACTTGGATGTAAATTATGAAAAAAAAAAAAAAAAACGTTTTATGGGGACTTGAATTTAAATCATGAATAACAAAATTCAAAATTTCAATCTTTGAAAAATAAATTAATAATCAATTCATCGAAATTAAATTCGATTCATCGAAAATAAATTTCCGATCAATAGCGATAATTACTTGTTTTTAATTATTAATTTCTCTTTCAAAGATTGAAATTTTGTTATTCATGATTTAAATTCCAGTCCCCGTAAAAGTTCTTTCCAGCGGCCGAGCGGTAAAGCCGCTGAACACTGGTAGTTCAGTCCGAGGTTCGAATCCCGCGAATGGCCTGGCTTCCCTTAGAAAGTCCTCCACGAAGGCATCCATCCTCTTAGGCAGATAGCCCTAGTGTGCTTTGCCATAATTAAATACACCAACACCAATACACTTTAGTATATATATATATATATATATATATATAAATTGGTAAATTGTAATTAGTAAATTGGAATAAAAGCAAGGCAATTTCTCTATAATACATTTGCAACTGTGTATAAAAGGTTTAACACCTCTTACACACAGTTGCAATTATATTATAGAGGAACTGCCTTGCCTTGTGTTAAACCTCTTATACACGGTTGCAGTTAGTATATTATAGAGGAATTGCTTTGCTTTTACTCCAATTTACTAATTAATTTAGATGCTTTAGTTTATTCTACTTCAATCCTGCAGTTATAGCGCAGGACGTGTTTAAGAAAAATTTTAATTCTAATTTTTAGCCTATTTTATATTTCTTTAAATAACACTCTTATATATGTATATAACATTCTTAGTCTAATTTTGTTGTGAAGTACTTAAAGTATGTATATATTATAAAATATATAATATTAATATATAGTATGCCATGCATTTTACATATAATATTACTAAAAAAAATTGAATTCTCTGAAACAATAAGACTACGATAAAAGATTATTTGAATTAAATGACAAAACAAAGCAATTTTAAAGTTCTAAAACCTACCCAATTATATAAATAGTTCTAAACTCCATTTTCGCATAGAAAGGAAAGAAAATCCTACCATTTTTTCCAGTCTTTTGCAATTACAATTCTTTTCCTCCATAGTAAGAATTGAAAAAGCTAGTTTCTGAACAAAAATGTATCTTCTAAATTAATTCTTTACAAGTACTTTCGTATTTATAAATTATTAAAGAGATTTATTTTCGCTTCGTTTTCCGTACTGCATTTATAGCAAATGATTAATTCTCTTTAATTACAATTCATTTCATTGCAATAAAATATTTTAATGTGTGTGTGTTGCTTAGTAATGATTTAAAGCTTCAATAAAGTATGATATGAATCCGGCATGTGTCGAGAAAGAACCAAAGACTCGCCACCTGTCCTCCAACACACGAGACAGATTTGCATGGCAGAGAATATTTCCGTCTAGGCCCACGCAGACTTCCATGTCTTTGACAGAGGTTTCTATCATTGCTGGGAGGTAAGGGAAAAAGGGCCCTGTGTTCAACTCTTCAGAGATGAAGGCTGACCCTCAGTTTGCTTTTATGGACGACAACCTTCATTCACATAGGACCACTAGCGTAACTAAAACAATTGGGCCCCTATTCAATAAAAAGTATATAAAAAAAAAATCTTATAGCTTTCAGATTTTATACTACTCTCAAAGGGGATTTTTTTTCATTTACACATACATACACGTTTCGAGAGCATTTAGATTCTAACTGCCCTTTGGCCTAAAAATATTTAAAAACAGTGTATGTGTAGAATTTCCGATAGGCAGTCTCGTGCGCTGGAGAAAAAAATATTTTATTTCACACATTGTAATGCCACTGCTTGCTTTGAAATCGTTGAGTTTCTGAATAAAAAATTCGTTCAACAAATATGAAATAGATAATAAATTCGAAATTCAAGATTCGAGCTTCCAGATGCCCATATTCGGGTGTAAGACTATGTTATTCAAAATTTGATGGGTCTAGGTCTCGTTGTTTTTTACAATGCGAGAAACATTCATACGTTCATGCAGATTCTTCGTTATTTAATTTCTTTAAATATATATGCATATATATTTGTTGGCAGAGATCTGAAAAGTTATACAGACGTTTACAGTGATTCGTTGCAAAATGCCGTTTCGAAACTAACAGCCCTTCTAGGCTAACACCCCTTTCAGCTAAAAAGAAAAGAAAGAAAGAGAGAAAATAAGAAAGAAACATTAGGACCGCTTCTCATGATTTACATCTCTACACTCCGATGGAGAGTTTAAAAGCGGAAGAAGTCAAGACACCTAAGTGTTGACCTTTTTAATAATGATGCTTTTTGTCAGGGCTGAATTAATTTTTAAATAATACAAGCCCATGTTCAAGGCACTAAAGTGTAGTATACTTAACTGAATTTTGTTGATTAGAAAAAGAAGGAAGTATCTTTTCATTCTCTTTTTCCTTTTTCCCCGTCCCCCCCCCTTTTTTTTATTTCAACGAAGTTTTAGAACAAGGATGTCAAACTCGCGGCCCGGCCAATATATCCACAAATAATAATATATAATAATAAAATAACATATCGACGAAGAAAAAAATGAAATGTTTACTGCTAAGTTATTAACGATAATACGATAATTATTCAGTGTTGTTAGATTACTCACAGCGAGCTGACACACACACTACTTAAATTACAAATGCGTGTGAGTAGCTTGCGTTCAGCTACCTTGGGCTTTTGGGGGACACGTGCACTCAGAACTTGTACGCATCCCCCGATAGCCGAATGTGGCCGAAAGATAATAGCAGAGAAGAGATGTCAAGTATCAGGACGCAAACATTAAATTTTTCTTGTTCTTTTCTATATAAACATATATATATGTTTATTATTGTATTATTCGAAATAAATCTACGTTTCTATGAATATTGATTTTTTTTTTTTTTTTTTTTTTTACCCCGGCCCGCCTAAAGTTAAACCTTGTTTGTTTGGCCCAAGTGTACCTATGAGTTTGACATCCCTGTTTTAGAAGGATGAAATTTGAGGCCTTAAAGTTTTGAGAATCATTCCTGGCCAGAGCAGAGTGTTTCAGATGATTTTCAAACTCTGCTTTTTGAGGATCAGTTTTTCATGAGATTTTCCTCTCATTAGGGTGACAAATAAATAAATTTATATGATAAAAAGGACTTGCCATTTAAGATATATAATAAAGAGAGTGGCCTAGATTGGCAGAAATTTTATATAAAACAGGAAAATAGCTAAGTACGCAGAAGAAAACATAATTGCATTAATAATGTAGTATGATCTACTTAACTTATAAATATAAATTACTCAATAATTTACAAAAATTAATACAAAAGCTCTCTTCATAAATCATGCGGGAGGGACAAAAAGTCTTTCCCTGATTACAAAAAAGTTTAATGCGTGAAAGCTATCATAATTAGATACATTCTTTTTTCAAACTAGTAACTGTAGTATTTCATTGTTCCGTATGCATCTTATCCAAGGCTTAATTTCTAAACTTAGAAGTACCAGAGTCCTACGAAAGGCCGTCAGGTAAAAAGGGAGAAAATAAATAAATACAACAAATAATAATAATAAAAAAATCCGAAAGCATTTCAGATTTTATATTACCTAAAGAGGGGTGATTTTTTTTAACGTTTTTAACCTTTATTTATTAAATATCATGTTTTTCACAATTAACCAACATAAAATTCAGTTCAACAGCAATATCACAAAATATTTAAAAACAGCGTATCTTTAGAATTTCCGATACACAGTCTAGTGACCTGGAGATATTTTTACCCCCCGTACAATGTTATCATTGCTCGCATTGAAATCGCTGGGATTGTTAATCAAAAATTCCTTAAAATTTTGCAAAATGTGAAATAGATAGTAACACAAATTCGAAATTCAAAATTCGGACTTCCAAGATGCCCATGTTCAGGTGGAGGATTACCTTATTCAA